GGCCCGTAGTAAACGCCCAGTTGCTGATGCCTGATTTCTTCCAAAAGTTAGGAATTTTTGCGTATGATCGAGCAAAGCTTATATATGAAATTTTAAGTAAATCGGTTGAATACTTTCTTCAAAATGGTGAAAAATGTAAAATCTGCTCGCAAATCCGTTTTCGAGCCCTGATCTTTCTTAAAAAAATTTATATGTTCATTGTTTTAATACGAGGAGTTCATATATCAAATTTCAATGAAATCGGTTGATTATTTCTCTTTATATACACAAAAATGTATATTTGGCCCGTAATAAACGTCTAGTTGCCGATGCCTGATTTCTTCCAAAACATACGAATTGCGGACGGTCGAGCTGAGCTTATATATAAAATTTCAAGTAAATCGGTTGAATACTTTCTTCAAAATGTTCAAAAATGTAAAACAGGCCCGCTAAAAAATGCAGTTCCCGAGGCCTGATATATACCAAAAGTTGATCGATCAGTGCTATGGTGGAAACAAACTTACATATAAAATTTCATCAAAATCGGTTCAGCCGAACTTGAGATACACGCGTGCACACACAGACCGACAGACGGACAGACCGACAGGTTGCTAAAAATAGTTTATTTACACTTCCCTACTATGGAGAAGTGCGTTCCCACCGAAAACTCGATATGCAAAATTTGTTGCCATCACATAACCTACCTATTGTTTACACAATACGGTCGGTAAAAAGCTACTAAAGCTTTTGATACATTTTGGAATGCATTTTTTACAATATTAATAATACATACTTTCACGTTTGTTTGAAAATTTCAATGTAAAATTCTGTGCAAACGTTAATTTCTAACAAACGTAACCACATCATTAAAAACAAAGCATTTCAAGAAAAAAACCTAATAACTAGCACTTTGCTGCTGAAAATATATACTAGTTTATTTAATTGGCAACATTTATATGACTTGTGTGAGAAAAGTGCGGTCGATGTTTTGGGTTTCGATTTACTTTTATTTTATGTATTCACTACATATAGAACACATTTCAGAAAAGCGTACAATGTCAGGAACTTTTAATAAACTTTTTGGAATGTGATACTTTGTAAAGTTTACATTGTAAGCGCATTATTAAAGTCACGGACTTTGTGAAGTTTACGTTGTAAGCGCATTATTGAAGTCACGGATTGTATTTGATAAAAGTAATAAAATTAGGCTCGTAAGCAATAAATATCCGAAGAGGTATTTATCCTTTTTTCCGTTCGCACGCTTTCTAGAAAGTAGTTCAATGGTAACTTGATTAGGATTTACTAAAAAATGCTTTATAATAATAAATACTAGAAACTTCCATACAACTTAACTGTCATAATACTTCAAAAGTTATTTAGCTATATCTCAAAAACTATTTAGACTGCAGCATACATATAGTAATACCATTATTATACCCTGCACTTCGTGAAGGGTATATTAACTTTGGTATGGAGTTTGTAACTACTTGAAGGAGTCATCTGCGGTATGGACATATATATATATTCTTGCTCAGCGTAAAATTCTGCGTCGATTTAGACATGTCCGTCCGTCCGTCCGTTCGTCCGTCCGATCGCACGATAACTCAAAAACGAATAATGCAATCGACACCAAACTTTCACAAGTTTTTTCTTTTGTGCCAAGGACGAACCCTATTATTATTGGACTAAATCGGACAACGGGTTCGGGTAGCTGCCATACAACTCCAAGAGTTTATTTTAAATATTTCAAAAACTAATAAAGCTATTAATATAAAATTTTGTATACATGTGTCCAATTATATTCTACACATGCTCTAAAAATTATAATGGGATAGCTGCACCGATTCATGTGGCTGTCATACAACTCCAATAGCAAATTTTTTATATTCGGCAAAATAATAAAGTCAGATTCATGAAACTTGGCAGTCATGTGTCCAATTATAGGTCAAATATATTTCTGAAGTTTTGGTGGAACTGCTCGACAGATTCGAGTAGCTCCCATACAAGTCTAAAAGCTTATTTTAAATATTTGGAAAAATAATAAAGTCAGATTCATGAAACTTGGCAGTTGTGTGTCCGATTATATATCAGATATATTTGTGAAGTTTTAGTGGAATTGCTTGACAGGTTCGGGTACTTGCCATACAACTCCAAAAGCTTATTTTACATATTTGGAAAAATAATAAAGTCAGATTCATGAAACTTGGCAGTTGTATGTCGAGTTATAGGTCACATATATTTCTGAAGTTTTGGTGGAATTGCTTAACAGGTTCGAGTAAATCCCATACAAGTCTAAAAGCTTATTCTTAATATTTGGAAAAATAATAAAGTCAGATTCATGAAACTTGGCAGTTGTGTGTCCGATTATAGATCAGATATATTTGTGAAGTTTTGATGGAATTGCTTGGCAGTTTCAGGTACTTACCATACAACTCCAAAAGCTAATTTTAAATATTTGAAAAAATTATAAGGTCAGATTCATGAAACTTGGCAGTCGGATGCCCAATTTTAGGTCAGACATGTCCATGAATATTCTATTGAATGATTTCAGAGGTTCTAGTAATTACTACACAATAACGAAAGGTGCAGGGTATAATTCAATCGGTTTATACCGACTGAAACGTTTTTACTTGTTTTTTAAGTTTCATTATTGCTCGATCCCTCACGCAGTCATTATTTGGCCATAATTCTTACTTATTAAAGGTACAGTACATACTGGAACCTTGCACAAAAGAGTATGTATAATAACGAAACCATCATTTTCTATTAAAAAAGCTGATATTGCACAAATTCGCATACCAGTTGTTCAACAACCTCGCAAGTTGTTTGACTATGTCACAGGAACTATAGAGTTCCGCGCTGAAATCTCGCGTCAGGAATATAGTTTTGCTAAAAAAACTTTAAAACTGCTTGACTTCTTATGGTAGTCGTAAAATTTTAGTAATTCGTCCGTAATTTATTTGTACAAATATAATTAATTTAATACTGCTATTTATATCCAATTTCTTTTAAAAATGTTTTACATAAAACATTAGGTCGGATACCTAAAATAAATTTCTGAATTTGGAATATTTGGAATATGAATCAACAATAGATACTGACAAGCTTTCCAAATTAAAAGAATTTTTGTTTCAGCATATTTCACTCTAGAGCTCCTGGTAATACTGGCAGAGGTTCAAATTTCTAATATACATAAATCGTGACTTCAATAATGCGCTAACGACGTAAACTTCACAAAGTTTCACATTCCAAAAAGTTTTTAACATTGTTTAGTAAAAGCTCTTAACATTGCACACTTTTCCAAAATGCGTTCTATACGTAGGGGATAGGTAAAATGAAAGTAAATTGGGTATCGAAAAAATCGAGCACGCTTTTTTTATAAAAGTAATATAAATGATGCCAGAAATAACCAAATAAATAAACTAGTATAAATTTTGAGTAATAAAGTGCTAGTTATTAAGTTTTTTTCTCAAAATGCAGCGTAACCACATCAATGTTTTTAATGATGTGATCAAGTTTGTTGCAAATTATCATTTGCACAGAGCTTTAAATTCAAATTTTCAAACAAATGTCAAAGTATGAATTAATATCGTAAAAATTGTATTTCAAAATGTATCAAAAACTTTAGCAGTTTTTATTGCAATGTAAAGGTATTGAAAGCTCTGAAACTGTACTACAATCGTATTAATACCGTACTTTTTATAAAGCATTATTGAAGTCACGGATACTTATACTTATACATAAATGAATACATAAATTATTCGCAAAATAATTAGGTTTCAATAATTTTTTTATGAAAAGCTCGAATTGATAATCGAGAATAAACATGAAAAAGAAAAAATAATGCTTTGATGATGTAATTTACATACAATGAAATGCATTTACATACAAATTTTACATAAACAAAAATTAATGTCTAGGTCTTGATTTTTGTTACCTTGCTGAAATGCTCAATATTCTCAAGTTATGTCGGTGTGATCATGTTACGTATCTATAGTAAAAATGCATTAAAATTCACTTTTAGTTACCTTATACGAACCCACTCTCACACAAACGTATTCAAATCACAGATTTTTTTTAGTTTTTTTAATTTTACTATTTGAAAGTAAAATAGATTAATTTAAGCACAATGTAAACATTTATTGAAGATAATTAAAGCGGTTATTTCATATTTATGCATATATTTATATGCATTTACTCCATTTATCAATGCCTGCGTAAACAAAGCCACATGTATATACATACATATAGTGAAAAATATACATATGTAACACACATTTTGTGTTAAAAAATTGAATATACGCAAAATGCACACTACCAATCTTTGCATAAACACATATGTACATGTGTTATGCACATCTATATATTCATAAATATATTTAAGCATATGTTATACATTTATAAATATATATATATACACCTATATCATACGTATATAAATTATATAAAACAATAATTTATACTTCTTGTGCATGGATATGTATATGCATATACATAAATTAGGCCTGAATAATATATACTTACATAGATTGAAATACCATGTTTGCTTACACACACATATTAGAAGACATGCCATGCCATACTGTATTCTTATACTTTGAACAAAACATTACCATATACGTATGTATATAGGTATGTATGCATATACATATGTATACAAATGTACGCAGTTTTTTATGTTACATCAATTTTCAAACATCTACATATAAAAAGTTAAAGCATATTATGTATTTCTTTTACATTTTTAAAAATTAATATTTCTGCTTTTCGTCTTTTCTTAAAGTTTGTCAGAGTTAGATACGTACGTACATATGTATAAGTACGTGCATATAAATTTTATGAAAACTTATTTGGTATATTTACATTATTGTTTAAAATTACATACATATGTATGTATGTACATATTTACGTATGTAAGTGGTTGAATCTATGCCATAAATAATTACATAAATATATTTGTAGAATTAATTTATGTTTACTTATACATGCCTGTGCATGCATGTGTATTTGAAAACGGTTACCTTAGTGTTGGAATCATCTTTCACCAGTTAACAAATTTTACGAAATAAACAACAAAAAAAACTGAGAATGAATAACAGATTAAACTTAACAAAGAAGTAAAAATTAACAACAAAAATACTAAAACTTTTGGCACTTATGACTATCTTTAGGTAGATAGACTTTTGTCGTTATCGCGCGCTTTAAAAAAAACTTAATATAATAACACAACGAAATTTAGAATCGTACTGAGAACAGCGAGAAAAATTTCATTTCAGAATACTGCTCTACTCTTCCTATGTGTTATTTTGTTACTCATTTCATTTAGGGTACTTGGTTTGTTTTTTTATTGCTTTCTTTAATTTTTTTACAATACCAATAACAATGTGATATGAATACGATGACGATAAAAGCCAACAACGAATATAAAAAAAGAGCAACAAAGTTCTTTTTTTGGATCATGAATTTTCCATGTGATTTACCAATAGAGTGGTAAAAGCTTTTAATTTTTTCTGCTACAACTGAATGCGAAATGTATAGCATGTACTCAGTTGCGCAATTTTTACTTTTAATGTTATTTTTTTTCTCGCAAAGCTGTTAAGTCAACAAATAAAATATCTCTCCGTTTTTCGTTAAAACAAAAATGAATATTAAATAAAGTTGGCTCAAACCAATGGTTTGTGTTGTAGCACTTTTCCCTTCAACAATTCGTGAAAATACTGCTTTTAAACACAGTCTAGTATATCTACCACACTATTAAAAATATTTTCATTCATATACGAAAGTATTTCCAGGATTGCATATATTTAAGATGAACGATTTATGCAATCTTTGAAATAAAGCAAAAATTAATTTAAAGAGGGCTGAAGATAATGTTCGACTTAAAGGGTTAGTTGAGTGAGTTAAGAAAAATAATTTTATTTTTTAATGTCACAGAATTTGCCGTTAGCTTTCTGCATTTACATAAATTTGAAAAAGCTTGCGGTTCAAAAATTCAAATTTTACAAATTTCAAAAGGCGATAAGTTGAGAGGGGGTGGAGATGGAAAAAAATTTTCCTCTAACGAAATAAACTATTTATTAGTATTTAAAAGCTGCAAAAATTTCAGAGTCGTACAACTTGGGGTCTAATAGAAAAATTAAATCAAAAATTTGGAAAAACGGATTTTAGATAACGGCAAATTTGAACGGTCATTTTGCTTTCTTAAAGTTTAACTTTAGTATGCCATGATAGGAGTAGCAACCCACTGGCTTTCTGCGTTTGCAAAATTTGGAAAATGCTAATGGTTTCATTGCAGTAAATAGTTAAAAAAAGGTGAGAAGAGAGGGTGAGATAGGTAAAAATTTTGTTCTACGGAAATAAGTTTCTAGTAAAGATCTGTGATAACATATAAAATTTCAACTTTCTATCTCCAAGGTTCTACAACTTTTGTAAACATGTCCACGGACGGACGGACAATAAGCACTTTTTTTAAAAAAATTTTTGGAAAAATCCTAAAAACAGCTACTTTCAGAAATTACTTCACTTATTATTAATCTAATAATATATGTATACCTTTACATACACATAGTTGAATGTATGGAAACTATTTTATTTATATAGTAAAAAACTGAATCATGTACATATTAGAAAATTTGTTCATGTAAACTAATTTGCATCAATTTTAAATGCGTAGCAGTTCTATTATTTTCATTGAAACTTGCAACATGCTGGTATCTATTCAGTACATATTGCAAAAAATAAAATTTTGAAACCTTAATAAAATCCAAAACTGTATGTGCACAAAAACCAATTGTTAAACGAAAACAGTTTTGTATTTACATTTCTAGATACAAATTTTTATTTGTTGACATTGACTTTTTTAAATAGCTTTTATAAAATATTTTACCACCATAAAAATTAACAGTCTATTACATTTCTGTACACCAAAATCCAAAACAAAAAGTAAAATATTAGCTTATTATCAAATTAAATATTAAATAACGCATTTTGATTGCACTCTTCGTCAAATTTTTACAAAATATTCAGAATTTTTTAAATGCCCCTTTTTTTTATTTGGATTTCGAAAATCAACTTTGACCTTGTAAAATTAGTTTGAACGTGATATAACGAACGTGTTACAATGTCATTGATACATGTTGTAGTAAAAACTTTTTTTAATTTCTTTTAATTTTGAATGTTCATTTTCTATAACAATATTTTATAGAAATAAATTTTGGTTTTTGCTTTAATTTTTAGATGTGATGATACTGTTAGCTCGCGAAACTGTTAACTTCTGTGAAAGCAACAGCTTTATTCCTACAGATTTTAATACAAAACTTGAAAAAACTTTAAACCAAAGTATATCTATGTTATAAGTAATGTGCTTTTCCGTTTACATTACACTAATCCAATGTTTGTATACCAAAAATTTCCTTAGCTAAAAGAGTTAAACAGTGCACGTACCTCCTTAATTTTATTTTTATACACAGGAATTATTAAGAGAAAGTGAACGCCATAGATGTCTACCTGGGGGCGCTAGCTTCTTGGCCAGCATGCTAAGTATAATGAATTGCGTCGAGCTTATTTCGCTTCTGGAATCCCTGAACAATTCAGCCATTCAGTATTTGTAGCACCAAGCTGAAAAAAAGGAAAACCACAATTTATTTATTTCGTTGAAAATCTTAAAACTCTATTCTTCCGAAAGAACATAAATACATAATCAAGTAATATGCTGCTTTCGAGTTCCTTATTAGCCCTTTCAAAAACTGTTCGGTTAAAACCTATATTATTTTCGGAAGGAAAGTTATGTAAGTCAACACACCTTTTTTGCTTATACAAGTTAACGTGTTAACTTTAATAAGCAAAAAAGCTTTGGCAAGTACGAATTTCGTAAAAATTTTGTTAAAATCCCTGTATTTCGAAAACTGTTGAGTTTTGACAACTATTTCCAAACAAAAATTTTGCCCAGTTTTGATGCTCTATTTAATGCCATATATATCTATCAGGCCATTAAGCTCAGAGAGCAAATCAAAAATAAGGAAGCGATGTCGGAATTTATTTGTGTGAAGGAATTGATAAATATCTTTGGGTTTACTGATTTTACATATTTTTTTAAATTTAAAAATAGCCAAAAATTTTTTTAGTGCAGACAACGTTTCTTGTCTTCCAAATAGAAGAGTACTGATTTACAGACTAAAATTTTTGAATAAGAAATAGAATTTAAAAAGAAATTGCAGAAAAAAGCAAAAAAAATAATAATTATAGTCTAGATGGCTTTTAAAACTATACTAAATAAAATAAGAATTATAAAGAATACTCTAAAACTTCACAAAAAAAAATAAATAATATATTTCAATCGGCATACTTCGAAAACGTAAAACATTAAAAATTGTTTTTGTATTTTGTTCCGATTCAAAATTTCAGAAAATAATTTCAGCTTGGGGGCTTAATAGATATACATGGTATGACTCTAACTAATGATATATAACAGAAGTGGGAAGCCCGTAGCCTGGGGACCGGATGTGGCTTCTAAGAGTTTTTGTGCTGCCCCACCCGCCTCCTCTTGTATTTGAATGTTTTTAAATATTCAATTGCTTTCAAGTAAAAAACAAATTAGAACATCTCACTAAATACAATCTAACGTGAATTAAATTAATTGAACAATGAATTTGATTTTTTTTTTGTTGTTTATGTTTATTTATTTACTTTTTATTGGATTGAATTTTTGTTTTATTAATATAATTTTATTAATATTTATATGTATTTATGTATATGTATGCATAAAAAAATATTGACTTCAAAATAAAAAGTTTAATCTGAAATAAATAAAAACTGAACTTAAAATAAAAAAATGGAATTTTCACAGTAATAACCGCACAAAAGCTACTTTTATTTCTATTAAAACTTATGCCGCCCCCTTAGTTGTTTTTATTTTAAATTTGGGCTCCATGGGTAAAAAAGTTCCCCACCTCTGATATGTAATATTGTACTCTTTACATGCTGTATATACATATGTATGTCAATATAACAATTGAAGAGGTAAGTGGACAAAGGGGTTAATTAACATTTTGGCGAAAATCGAGCTTTTCGGATAGAACACCATTAAATTTCTTATATTTTCAATTGTGATTAGAGCTAGAAACTAAATAGAACAAAAGTAACAAAAAAATTAATAGTTTTACAATTTGTTAATGAAAAAATGCGTCACAATGCAAATGTAAGTTAACCCCTTTATTCACTTACCTCTTCAATTATGACATTTTAAACTTATATTTCATATTGGTTTCATACATCAGTATGTTTTTACCACAATTATGATATGAAAAATGACACATGAATGTACGCATTGTGAAAAATAAATTTTATTTTTATTAAAATAAAAATAGCAAAATTTTAACTAACTCAATTTAATTTTATTTCATTCCGTTATTTTTGATACACTCGTTTGTTTACAATATTTTGTATCTTTCTTGCCTACACGCCCCTTATTACCTATTTCTTAGTAAAAGTGGAAGTGGAAGTGAAAAATGACGGCTTTGAATGACAATTATGTACGTATGAAATAAATATACTTTGCTTTAAGCACTGAGAAACTTAAAACGTCATAATTTTCTCTCAATATGTTTAAAAAGTTTGATACCAGACGCTTTGCATGCAAAAACCTAATAAAGTTTTTAAAAATTTCAAGTCTAATACGTCAGAAAGACAGGTCAAATACGTTTTTGATACTGTTTTTGAACTGATATTTTTGGATATGTATGGGTATGTATGGGTGACTTCTTCATTTTTTTTTCCTTCAAGGAAGAAAGGAAGAAAGCATGAATGCTACTACATGCCATTCCTTAGCAACCCATAGTTAGTTATGGGTTTTACCACAAAAACCTCCTTGTATTCTGATACTAGTCCCCTTAGACCAACCATCAAATTTTCTTTGATATAGATTGAAAGAGATTCAACGCTCCCCGATTTGGTGAAGCGCATTTTGCGCCAAACCAGAAGGCAAAGTCCTCTTTAGCCTTTTGGGAGAATCCCCGATAACAAAGAGCCGAGAGGCATCTACGTTGACATGTTGCTTCAAACGAACTCTATATCTCACCACCCTTACGCTGATTTCGTTAACTACGCATGGAATCTATAGATTTCGTGCAAATCTCCATTTCGCACATACAAAGGGGCATCCACCATATTCCGCAAAATCTTATTATGGAACGTTTGTTTTCGCTGAACATGTATTTGTTTGGCACATCC